TAGCTCAGTACATTTTTTTTTCACCCGAGATAGTCAAAGTTGGGGAAGAAAATATCAAAAAGTTAAAAATCCAGAAATAGTCCTAATTTTATGATGGTTCCTTAATATATTTTAACTACATTTATTCATGATGAAATGTCAAAGCATACTGAGCATCTTTCTCTTTGACACCATGTCTGAGATCCCACGTGATCTGTCAAATACTAATGCATGAAAATCCTAACCTCAAAAAAATCACCCGTTATAATAAGTATCAGCAGTGCTCAGAACAGCTTCTCGTAACTTTTCACTTTTGCCTTAAAGATGAGAACGGTGCGAAAGATGGTGTCCAAAGTTCTTCTAAAACTACATACATACATATGTATGTATCAGGATGTTGCGAATATTCGCATTCGCATTCGTTATGCGAATGTTTGGCATCACTTTACACATTCGCATCAAAAGATGCGAATGTTTTGCGAATGCAAATGTGTACATGGGCAGAGAGTCCACTCTAAATATTGTTGAAGTGGTCTGTCTAACCATGGTGCGGACAATAACCGGCTTCTTAGCTTCAGGTTAAGGTTAAGAAGTATACCAAGCAATATTGATGGGCCTTCAACAAGTACAGATAAAAGTCGTATAAGCAACCTAGAAATAATTTTAGATTCCTCCAGCGAAAGCGAAGGCTCGGATGTAGAATCTGGATACATTAAAAAATGTGAATTTAAAGCTCAATTGAAGGCCTATCTTAAAGAAAAATGAGCTCATCTCGGTGAAAATAATCGCGGTTGGTAGAAAACTAAACTAAAATACGAAAAATTTGGCAAGCAAATATTTGAGCGCTCCACACGCAAGCGCTCCAAGTGAGCAATTGCTCAGTGCAGCCGGCCTTATATACGAGCCTCTTAGAAATAGTCTCATGGGAGAAAAGGCAGGAAAATTACTTTTTTTTTTAAACATAATATGCCTCTTTTGAACTTTGAGTACTAGATTAAAACACTGTATACACTCTAAAAAGTGCAGGTAAAACTACTACTAAAAAGTGTTTATTTTTCACCCAGAACCTGAGTAAATATACGCACAAAATAATCATGATTTGATTTTGAACACGAAATGTTTAAAAAATTATAAAATTGTAAAACATTTCAAAGTAAAGATATATTTTTTACTAATAATAAATATTAAGTGCTCATTTTTACTAAATTTTAAACGCTTTGTGTGTAATTTTTCTCTACGATACAAATTTTATATGTAAAAGTAAACAGACAGTGTTTAGTTTTTATGTGTAAATTGTGAACAATAAATGTTTAGAACTCAACAAACAAATTTGAAATTTGTTTACGCCACACATATGATAAGTAAAAGTAAAAGCTCAGTTAGTCTAGACTTAATTTCAGTAACTTAACTTAACTTAATGTTTTAGCCGAGCTGTTATATGAGAAACTGTGTTGGCGGTTAGTTAAAACTTAACTTACCGTAAAAAACTTAAGAACCTGTAGGATTTAGGTTCTTAAGTTACGGCCTTACGAAAATTGAGAGCGGTGAGAGAATCAGGCTTGCCAGACTCTCGGTTTTGTATTTCTTAAAAAAAATTAAAGCAAACATTTTTGTTTGCATGAATTTTTTTGATGTGGCATTGTAGGCGGCGAACTGTTAAACAGCTGAAAAAGAAAATACAAAAACAAAATATTTCCGCTCATGACTTAAATTGACGTGTTGAGTAATCATTAATGATTTCTTACGGTTAAGTCTAGACTAACTGAGCTTTAAGCAAGTAGTGTTTAATTTAATAAACACGGTGTGTAAATTTGCATTCACTAAGAGAGGAAACCTACCTATCTTAATATGCGCAAATTTAAACAAAAATTTTTAGACTGTAGGTGTAGTTTTTTAAAACCAGTAAATAACATGCACAGTATAATAATTTTTAATATTTAAATACCTGGGATTTTAATTACTATTTATATATGTACATATTTCTTGTTGTGAGATTTATCGAAAAAAATACTTAAGAAGCAATGAATATACTAATCGTGTTTAACATTTTTTTCAGCTTATTGTGCGCTCAAATGCATTCAGAAATAGTGCAGAGACAAAGAAATAACGCAATAGAGTCCAACAGAGGAAAAGATACACAAATGCCTTTTTAGTATTTTCCAATTAAAAAAAAAACCGATAAAAACATAAATGTTGATGATTTTCGCTTAATCTTTTCGTTTTATTTCTAATGAGCACATTTTACATAGAAAATACTTAAAAATTTACGTAAAAATACATATAATTATATCTCTAGTTGAAGTTTTCGAAAGTCAACTAACAATTTGATTTATTTTAATCTTATATGAGTGTTTTGTTATTTTAACTCTTACAAATGTCTGCAAGTTTTACAATATCACTTAATCTACATACATATAGGCATAAGATCGTATTAAAACAAAAAAGATAAACTAAAGCAGTAAAGGAAATGACATTTTATGACTTTATGTGCTTTTAAAAATACATATGTATCTATTTTATTTATCTTTTGCTTTCATTAAACTCTGTAATTCTAAGCTTAAATAATGATTAAAATAATGAGGCATTTATGAAGCAAATTTGAACAAAATATGTATGTTTTTTGTATTCGTATCTTAGCAATTTAGGTTAACATCAGGCGTTTGTTTTATTTTTATTTTTGCTGCACATCCAAACCAGCAATGCAAACGGTCCTATTTGACAAATTTGAAAATTCGCAGGAAAAGCAAGCAACTTCTTAAATTTTCACACGAAATACGGCTCTTTAAAATATGCAAAAAATCTTTAATAGCAAAAAAATTAAAAAAAAAAATTTCGAATCGTAGATATATTTAGCATCGATGATGACATTACGTACATATGTATGTATAGTAATCACCAGAGGAAGCGTCGCACCAAAAGAAGTCAAGGTGGTGTGGTTGAAGCGAAGTTTATTGCTCAAAAAATTCTAAAAATATAAATTCTTATTAACTGAATATAACATATTTTATGTTGATCTTCGAAATTCTATATTATTTTCCGAATATTCATCCAGTATATGTATGAATGTATTAATGTATGTACATATCGTTAGCTTAGAGTGAAAAGTTGCTAAGTCCACTTTATATGAAAACTCATATTTTGATACAGGAGGCTAGAGAAATTTAAAATGTATTGTTTGGAAAAGGATCAAGTCACTTATTTTATTTATCCAAAAGAAGCACCGAAAATCCTTACCACCTCACCAAAAAAAAAAAGGTATATTTTTGTTTGTTAAATAAAGTAAACCAAAGACTTCTAAAAAATTCAAAATACGTTTGATTAACAATGGCATAAAATGCAATCTCTCAAATCGATTTAGCCTTATTTTTGGTTTTGCAAAACTGTCCTATTCTTTAACTCGTTATGAATGAAATAAAAATAAAAAGCACAATTGACTTTTTCGACCTATTCGGAGTTCAATTGCTTTTTTTTATCCCAAATTGAGTGTAAAATTTTTAAACGCAGTTACAAAACTGCGAATAAAAATAAAATGCGAAATTATAAAAACAAAATGATGAAAAAATAAAAAGTTACTATAAAATATATATTTGCTGTCTATAACACGTAATTTCGCTAACTCAAAAATCGCAATAACTCGTAATATTTTGGTGGAAATTTGGATTACGAGCTATCGCGATCCCACTGCAGACATAGTTTCATGATTTCGTTTTTTTTTTTTAATTGAGGGATATAGTACTGGCTTCTTACATTTACAGACCTATTCTGCGATGGTAACAAAAACGTTTTTAACAATTTTTTTTTTTTTTATGATTCTAAATGCTCTAAAAATAGAAATTTGTTTCAAAATTGTCCCTATATAAAGCTTTACAAATTAATTTTATTTTTATGAATAAGGGAGTGTTTAGAATGCCAGCTTGGAACTGAGTGGTTTCTTGAAATGTTCTCCTGTCTATAATATCAGCTAGAAGTGAAGTTTCGCGTTCTTAATGTTATAAATAAAACCTGACGCCTGACTAGCTAAAAAGTAAAAGCCGCTTTTTAAGTGCGCAAAAATAAATATGTATTTTTAGACATAAAAATAAAAAAAGATAAAATGCGTGCATAAAATTGAGGCATTAATGTAAAAATACATACTTTAAAAAAATTTGTTCGCTTCCTTCCACAAATTGAACACCTTGAACATTTCTTTGCAAACAGCTTCCTTTTCATAAAATTAGTAAATGTAAAATAATTTTTATTGCAGGTCCAAGATTTTCTTTAATTTCATTCTCATGCAAAAAATATTATTAAATGTAGCGTACATATGCAATACATATATTTAATGTTTTATCATCTTTTATTTTATACTCTTTTTGTAAATTTTAAATGCTAAATCTGTTTGCGACTTTCGCTCAATCAATTATACTTGTTTTTCATTTCACTGTATATTCTGTTAGTTTACGCCCATTTAGTACTAACGCTTTCTCTGTATGCATAACTAACTTATGAATTATGAATTTAGGTGTAATTATGTAATTTATTTTCTACAATTTATATCCATATTTTTATTTATAGTCGTTTTGACGTGTTTGCGTTATATTTTGTTTTAGTTTAACACTTACATTGCTTACTTTCGCTTTCTATGTATTATTTTTAACATTTCCTTTTTTAGTTCTCTGCACAAAATATTCGGATGATTATACATATTTTAAATTTTTGTCTTCACTTTCAATTCTATTAACTAAATACATATTTCAGTATTTATTACGTCTGTTTTGTATTCGCCGCAATTTACCCGAACCAAATTCACATTTTTTACCTACGCTTCTAACCTTTTTCACTATTTAATTTAGGTTATGTTCACTTTGATTACTGTTATGCTTATTTTTGTGTGTATTTTGTATATCAATTTAATTTAAAAAATATATTTATTTATTTATTTTTGTATGGTTTTTCTTTGTTTGCTTATTTTGTTTGTTTCGTTTAACATTTGTTAGTTTTGCTTATTTTTTTAGTTTTAAATAATAATAATTAGCGTAAAAAGGACATTTACATTTAATTTGAGTTCATTTGATTTTTGTGTTGTTGTTGCTTCTGTGGTTTTTGTTGCTGTTGATTTTAGCTGCTTCTTGAGCGTTTGCGGAGCCAACTTTTGACGCTGAGATTGCTGTTGCTGCTGTCAAACTTTGCTGTTGGGTGGGCGCGTAGTCGCCTCATACGCCCCCCGTCCCAGCGCGGCATAAGCGTCCGCATATAACTCTGGATTTTGCAGCGATGGCGGTCGATTATAATTTGCTGGTTGCGGAGCGACGGCTGTTCGTTTTTTGCATTGAGGAGAAAATTTTGAGAAAGGTAAGTAAAATAAGTTAAAAGGATCAAAAATTAAAGGAATTAAAATTAAGTTAGTAATTAATTATCGTTCATTCAACACAAATATTAATTAAATCACATTCATCCATATATAAAATCCTACATTGCAGTTAATAAAATAAATTAGTAGCTTGAAATGATGCTGCTGCTGCCTTTTCTTTTACTTGTTCTAGGTATTAGTATGTACAGCCCCAAAATGAATAGGTCGCCATTTACATATTCCGAGTACAGTGTTAAATGATTGAGACTACTCAATTAAGTTAAAACTCTAAACATTTCCTTTAACGCTAATATTTGTGGTTTTAATCACCTACATACACAACATCTTTCCTTACTATCAATGCTCTACAAACCTATGTATCTACTATATAGCGTTAAACAAAGCTCCTATAAATACTTAATTTTTTAGTCATCTCTTGCCATGTCAGGTTTGGAGATAGACCGGTTTCGGCATTATGTAACCTTAAGTGTACTTTTTTGAACGAAAACGGAAATTCGTTCCAAAATAAATAAAATATTCCCCATATCGCTAAACTTCGCATGTACGTCGACTGACGACTATAAGAAATTCAAAATGTCAGCGATGAAGAAATTTGAAAAAGTAGAGACTGATAAACAGTAGTTAAAATAAAATTGGTTCAAAAAACAAAAGCAATTGGCCTCAGCATACATATTTACAAAGGAGTTAACTTTTGTTCTAAGCTTGTCATTAAAAAGCATTGATAAAATAAATTGCCACACGTTTAAAACATCCGACCGCGCTATCAATTGGACATTTTAAGACCCTAACTAAAATCTGACCGAAAATATGTGGGCGTTCTTCTTCTTATTTGGCACTATAATGGTTTGTCGGTCAGGGCCGGGTACAAATCTTTGCCAACTGCAAACATTTGGCCCTTTTATTGTGTTCGGCGGCGACTTTACGTTCGTTGTCCACCCATTGGAGCCGTGTCGAAGGATTTTTTCACCGAAACATCATCATCCATGCGTACGACTTGTTCAAGCCAGCGCAATTGTTGGTCTCTTATACGCTTAACTATGTATTAACGAAGTTAAATGTTCCAAAAAAGAAAAAAAATGTCCCTAGAACTACCTAAGTTTGGACCGAATCGAATTAAAAAAAAAACTGTCTCGAAATACAAAAGTCTTTCGTAAGGCAATTGTCAATTCTGGCAACTTTTTACTGTCTTTCGAAAGTGTAATTGAAAGATCTGCTAGCGAAGAGGCCTTAGCGTTATGCTGATCCCTTTTTTTATTTTTATTAACATTAAATCAAACATATATTTTTGCTTTTTAAAATAATAAAAATTAATAAATAAAATAAAATTGAATATAAAAGAATAAAATGAAATGAAAATAAAGGAAAAATAAATAAAAATACTTTCTAAAGTTAAAAGGGAAATTGAATTAGAAAAAGAAAAAAATTTAGGTACATATTTACAAATTAAATGAAATTAAAAAAGTGTATTTCTTATTTAGCAAAATCTAAACATCTAAAGATCCCAAAAATTTAATGAAATAAAAGAATTATATTTTCTTTTTAAAACAATAAAATATAAAAATTAAAAGAAAATGAAATTGACAAAAGAAAAACAAATTAAATTAGAAAACTAAAAAATAAATAGAAGAAATTTCTAAATATTACATGAAATTAAAAAAAATCCATTTTTAAACATTAAAATCTAAAGTGAAAAGAAAACTAAACTAAAACAAGTAAGAAAGTCTAAGTTCGGGAGGAGCCGAACATTAAATACCCGGCGCAAGTATTAAATATATGTTTTTTTCTCCTTTCCGAAAACTACCGCTACGGGGTAAGCGGGTTGGTTTTACCCCTATTTTAAACATCTTCGACAGAACGTTCAGTTAGACATAATGAGATAAACTTATATAGTCATATGGGGGCGGTATCACACTTATTTCCCGAAATTCCAAATTTTCAAGGGCATGTTGTTAGTATCAATTTTGAGTAAATAAGCGTTCTTAAATTTCGAAATATCGAAGTTTCAAGCATTTCTGAAATTTACCGTTACATGAAAAGTGGCCGTAATATTAGTCCGATTTCAATAATTTCCAACGTTTTGCTTTTACGTGTCAAGCACAATAACCACACCGAGTTTGGTACAAATTGGTAGAACGGTTATCGGGATACATATATGTGATAATAAGAGAGCGTTGCCACGTCCACCTTCCAAAATTTTATCATAAGCGTATTTCTTAGTAAAGAATAATTGCAAACATCAATTTTGAATAAAGTAGCTTTAGTATTTGTCAATGTTATTGTGGCTTGTTAACATTTTTTTATTTTTAATATTTTTATTGAGCTTTGTACCACGATTGTTTATTAGGAAAAATTGAAAAAGCAACAAAGTCTAAGCGGTAGAAGTTATAGCACTATTTCGGAGATCACCACATCTCCTCATCAGACTTCTTTTTCTAGACTTCAGCAGGGATCGAACCTGCGAATTCGATGTTCAAAGTCAGAAGCGTTAACCACTGAGCTATGTACATCCCGTAAACTCTTGTTGCTAATTCATTTTCCTTATTCAACCAACTACTATCAAGTGCAGCTGATTTGCCGCTATTTAAACTCGACAGCGTGGTTGTTGTTGTCAATTCTATACATCCATTTGCTTATTTGCTTTTTTGTATAGTTTCAGGCAGGCTCTTCCTAAACTATGTATTTGTCAATGTTATTGTGGCTTGTTAACATTTTATTTTTAATATTTTTATTGAGCTTTGTACCACGATTGTTTATTAGGAAAAATTGAAAAAGCAACAAAGTCTAAGCGGTAGAAGTTATAGCACTATTTCGGAGATCACCACATTATTCTTTAAAAACCATTTTCGCATGACTTTCGGCACCAAGCAATTTTAGCCCGGTTATTTTTTAACCAATTCTAAGTTTTTATATGTCTTTAGAAAGAAGAATATTTGTAATATTTACGAAACAAGAGGTTTTGTGAGCATCTTGTAAATAGGTGAAATTTTTTTGTTTAATTTTTTCCACTTCTATAACACTGTTGGCGAAACAAAACAAATACATAGTTTAGGAAGAGCCTGCCTGAAACTATACAAAAAAGCAAATAAGCAAATGGATGTATAGAATTGACAACAACAACCACGCTGTCGAGTTTAAATAGCGGCAAATCAGCTGCACTTGATAGTAGTTGGTTGAATAAGGAAAATGAATTAGCAACAAGAGTTTACGGGATGTACATAGCTCAGTGGTTAACGCTTCTGACTTTGAACATCGAATTCGCAGGTTCGATCCCTGCTGAAGTCTAGAAAAAAGAAGTCTGATGAGGAGATGTGGTGATCTCCGAAATAGTGCTATAACTTCTACCGCTTAGACTTTGTTGCTTTTTCAATTTTTCCTAATAAACAATCGTGGTACAAAGCTCAATAAAAATATTAAAAATAAAAAAATAAAGTAGCTTTAGTATTTACTGATTTATCGAAGATTTCGTATTTCTCTAATTTACCGATATATGGGATGTGGGCATGGTTAATGTCCGATTTTAAAAAATTTTCAGCCATTTGGTACGTTAGCCAACAACTGTGCCAAGTTTGGGAGAAATTGGTTGAGCGATTACCAAGATATACAGATGTAACCATAAGTGGGTGTGGCTACGCCCGTTTTCAAAAAATTTATAATATTCTTAATTTACGTCTAAAAAGTATTGCAATTTTGAGTGAATAATCTTCAGTAGTTACTAAAATATCGCAGTTTTCGTATTTCTGAAAACTACAGTTATATGGGAGGTAGGCGTGGTTATTGTCACGTAGTACGAAGTACTCGTACCAAGTTTCGTTAAGGTATCTAAATTTTTACACGAGTTATCGTGTGCACAGACGGACGAACGGACAGACAGTCACCGCTTAATCGATTTTTCTTTTCATTCTGATCATTTATGTATACGTTTGTCTATATCTATCTCGATTCGTTTTGGCTGTTACAAACAACCGTTATGTGAACAAAATTAATATACCCTTGTGCACAAGTGCGCTCGGGTATAAAAANATCTATCTCGATTCGTTTTGGCTGTCACAAACAACCGTTATGTGAACAAAGTTATAATACCCTTATACTTATTTTATTTTGCACATTTCTTTTTTAACTAATTTTTTTATACCCGAGCGCTCTTGTATATACATATATATATATATACATACATACATATATATATATATATACATATATAAATCCACTGCTCAAGGACTCGAACTCGGATCTCTCGAAATGCCTATGCCTTGCTCACTCGGCCATTGCGACTGTTGGAGCTACGCGAGCTAAATGATATACAAATGTTTTCTCTCAATAACTTTTCACCACTAGTGGTGTATGAGAGCGTGTTTTTCTAAGACTTTTGTGCTTGAATAACAAAAGTCTATCGAACTATCTTGCCATATGTCTTTCTTTGTCTTACTAAAGACTTTTTACTATCTTGGCCAGAATTGTCCTGTTGTTAGTTCATATTCTATAACTTGCTGGACGAACTGCTACTCTACCCAATTGCAACTTATCTTAATCCCGCTATTAGATGTTTGCAAACCCGAAAAAATTGATGTGAGGTAAAAGATTTGGGTCGAATGAAGACCTCATCACTGAAACAAATGTCTATTTGGGACCTTAGGGAATCCTATTTTTTGACTAGTAGACTAAATACATAGGAGTACCTATGTATGTACATCGTGATATATGGAGATATACTGAGAAATCAACCAATTTTTCCAGAAAAACTTTATTTTTACTGGGTGCTTAAATTCGCTTGAACGCTAGTAAAATTTTACAACAGTGATTGCATCCAAGTAGCAGGTTTATATTTTGATTAAAACCAGTTTATTTGTATGACGCGAAATTTTTCTCGAAGTCAGCTTATTTTTATACAGGAACCGACCCGGTCTGATGTGGTCTCATCCGTAATGTTGTTTCTACTACTTTTCAATTAGTTTATCTAGCATTTCATTTCAAGCACTCATCATTCTCAGTCTTTAGTATGAATATTCAAAAATTAACATTAGTATAAAAAATAAAAACTTTTTACCAAAAAAAAAAACAAAATGTTAGTTATTATTTGTTTAGTGCTAAATATTTGAATACTAAATAAATCATATAAATTTGTTTATTTGTTATTATCGCTTAAGTAAAACCAAACGCTGGTACATGCTGAAACAAAACAACAACATTTAAATGAAATACAACAATACAAATGACAATTATATATATATATATATATATATATGTATCTTTAAACTAAAAATGTTTATTTGCTTGTGCAAAAACACCAAATGCAAACACGGCTAAAACAAAACAGTAAATTAAAAAAAATTTAAGAAATTAGTGAAAGTGACACAAATGCTAATAAAAGTGAAAGAATTTTAGTAAACGAAAATAAATCGTAAGGGATTGGAAAGCGTGTCATACCAATTTGGTGAGAATGAAAACGTGGTATATATTATTGTGTGTAGCAGTTGTTTTGGAGTGGAGATCATTAGGAGCACGACTGCAGGTTCAGTAAACGACCTTGCGGTGTCTTTTCGGCGCGGCCTGCTGCGCGCGCTGGGACGGCTCTTTAGAAGAGCGCCCAGCAGCTGGATTGCGGGATTTATTTCGTTTGGCGGCTGGTACTGTGTTGAATCAAATTATCGAATGGATTTTCGATAAAAGTGTTTAAGGAAAGAAATAAAATAAAATCAATTACGAGTAAATAAAAATGGAAAATAAAAATATAGGAAAATGGTACACAAGTGAGTAAAGTTTGTGTAAATTTTGAATACGCGCGTGCGTTGAAATTGTAACAAACGAAACAATAAGGAAAATGAATGAACATTTTTGTACTGAAATAAAAACTACGCGCGCCTTTTCTTTGACGCTTTAGCGCGTTTTGCCTTTTGGACCGCTTGCGGCGGAAACACACCTTTCGGTGGCGCATAAAATGCCTGCGAGAGTGTTGCCTGCACTTGTTGTTGTTGCTGCTGTTGTTGTAAATGTTGCGCTTGTACCGCGCCGGTGGGCGGCAGTGGCAGCGGTATTTGCTGGCGCGCAATTACACCAGCGCTGGGCCCACCACTACTGCCGGCGCCTCCCACTACTAGCGCGCCATTTGGCACGCCATTACCACCACCACTACCAACACCAACACCAGTTGGCACACCACCAACCACAAGGCCAGGTGGTGGCGCGTCTGCATACCCGCCATGCGTTGTGCTGCGTGTACCGCTCGAAGGTCGCGTTGATGGCCGCGAGCTGCGTCCGTTGGCCGGCGTCCGCCCGCTTGCTGCAGCAGCATTGGCTGCAATTGCTGGCGCGCGTCCGCTTGCATGATGGTTATGATGTGGACCACCCGTGGGTAGCGGCACTATGGAATGTCCACCCTGATGACGATCCCAATTATGGGGATGCGTACTACGATGATGGGCGCTGGTGGAAGCGCCACGTTGTTCGTGCGCTGGCGGTGGTATGCTGCGTGGACCGGCGCCGCGGCCTTGATGATGACGTTGCTGTCGGGAACAAATTTATATTAGTGAGGGAATAGCTTAGAAAAAGTAAATCACATTTACTCACCATCCGTCTCAATGTATTCATCGGTGCGCGCAGCGTTTCGCTAATACGACGCGCTCGACGCTTCTTCGGATTTGAGCTGGGCGTGTGCACAGCGCAACACTTAATGAATATGCCCATCACAATGATAAAGCACACGCCTATTATAACTACATAGTACCAGTATTCGGTGACCCATTGCGCTACGGTGAGTAGGGTCTCGCGATTAAGCAGCAGGTTCTTCAGTCGGACCAGCGGTCCATCTGCGTCAACAGCGCGGCATTTAAGAAACACATCACAGTAGCCCTGGAAGTTATCACATGGCGAACCGGGCCTTAAGTTAATGCCGCCTTCCGGCAGACCAACCCGATGAGCAAATTCACTAGTGCTGCGACAAGTACCACTATCGTTACCATTCTGACAAGCAAGCTCGCACAGTCGACGCTTGTCGACTTGCGGCACCGCTTGTGAGGTGAGGAAACACTCAGTCATATTCCACAGCAGACAAATGCTGCCCGAGCACTCGCCGCGTATGCAGAGCGCAGTGCCATTGTTGCACTTCGTTTTGTCGTCGCGCGGCTTTGGCTCCGGGCATTCGGCAGTGGTGCCGTTGCATGTGCTCGACCAGGAACATTCCGTTTCTTCTTTGCACTTCTGATGGTAGTTGGTTGGCACGAACTGACATGAGTTCGAGAGGCAACAAGGACCTTGCGAAGGTGAACACTCCGTCTTGGCCCGCCGCGTACAACCTTTCGCCGAGCTATTCATCGAGAGGTCGTATTCGCTGATGATGCGCGGATAACAACAAATGTCCTTGCACTCGTCTTCGTTGAAACCGCAGTCACATTCTTCGCCCGATTCGACGATTTTGTTGCCGCAGAAGGCACCTTCCGATACCTTGAAGCAATCCCGTTTCGAGTTTCCGACCAACACATCCAGAACGTTGGATATGTTGCGTATGGAGCAGGGCGAGAATTTAGAATTATTCGGCCGATCGCCTGAGGTGGCGCTGGCGAACATAATGAAGTTTCCATTTAGGCCGCCTGGCCGACACTCCAATGGATAATCGTGCTGCAGAACGGAAAAGCGTTTTATTATTATTAGAATTTTTTTTTATGTCAATAAATCTCAAATAAATAATTATAGCTACTTACGGGCGAACCAAAATTATGCCCAATCTCGTGCGCCAGCGTCAACTGCGACACTTTTGGCGGCACACGACTGTTATAGTTAACGAATGTAATGATGCCCGTATTTAGCGAGCGTTTTGTGCTTTGATATTGTCCACCGACTGTTTCGGTGTAAGTCTTAAATTTCTCACAAATGCCACCAGAAGCACCAGAGGCGCTGGCCACCCAGGCTAAGCCGAGCGTACCGCCGGTGAAGTCTCTGCAAAAGATTTTGATGTTGATTGGTTAATACAGGCACTTTTATGAAAAATACTCACCTATAAGTGAACACATAGGCTAAACAAAAGTCCGAATGATCCTCCAGCGAGTGTAAATTCAAAAAGTTCGACACGTCCATATGCTCATTGCAGAAGGCATTGTGTGGACCATTGTATGAATTGCGACAGGCGGAGTCGTCATCGATTTTGATGCGTTGCACCTGCAGAGTGAGAGAGAATAATTGAGGAAGTTCGTGAATTGTTGCAAATATACTGTAGAACATCATGTATGTATGTATGGAAATATTTTTAAATAAATAAAAATGTTGTAATGCAGCGAAAAATATTCTAAAATTGCCAAAAAAATATCGTTGTAAAATTTCTTTTTAATTTTTCAGATTAAAGCAAAATGCTACTCTAACTGTCAGCTTATTCGGTATTATAATGTGGGTGTTGAAATCCATATATGTAATACTCCTATATTGGCAGTAAGACTAGTACCGTCCGAAAACACTACAGTACAGATATATCAATAAACACGTACGAAAGAAAAGGAACACATACGTTTATAAATAAACATGTACACAACACATATACAAAAACGGCACTCAAGTACACAATACATTGACAAAAACCGTACTAGACTGTCTCGCTTTGATTTCGGAATGCTTACACATTGAGAAGTTAGCTTACTGCCAATATAGAAGTATTACATATATGTTTGAATCGTTTCCATAAACATCGATGGCAAGATTGCTCAAGACGTTTTTTAAAAGGCTGAGCAAGCTTTTCATGATTTTAAATTTTTCTTTATACCGAGGTTTCACTGCGTTTGCTGGATTTATATTTTTAATCTCACCTCAAAACGTATATTGCGGTGCTCGCTTCGTCCATCGAATTTAGTATTGCGATAAATGTAATTTACGGCAGTTACATGATGTGCGATTAGTGAAGTGATCTCCTCACGCGTCTTTACGTCAATCTCGTATTTACGGCCACGATCGTGCTGAAAATTAAAAGGGTTGCCATTTATAAACTCTAAACTTTGAAAAACATTGCAATGTAGATAAAGCTCTATTGTGACACTTTTATTGATTTTTCGCATTATAATATTTATGGCTCTGAAATATTTATTATTTGGAGGCAGCATAAGGCAAGTTCTATTTTGCAACACTGTCAATTTTCTTTCGGTCGGCACGGAGCAATGTGTTCAAACTCGCATAAAAATACCATTGCTATGGCCATCTTAGCATATGGCTCCTAGTTTAATATAAAGCGGGAAAGGATATTTTTTCATGAAACACTAATTCCATATTCTCATTTCGATTACCATGCAGTGATGGACAGGGCTGCCAACTTGGCTCAAACCGTGCCATTTTTGGCCCTATTTTACTTCAAATTGCACTTAATTTTTCAATTTGGCACAAAGCGCCAAAATGGCACTTTTGAAAAATATTAATATTTCAATACATTTTTGTGAAATCCTTTGCGTGTACTGGGTTTTCTCAACTAAAATTTTCTAATTTCTATAGTGTATACAACTGGTTTATCTTAGCATTGGACTTTTGTTTTAGGAATGTGCTTCCAATTTTAATTCTAAATGGAAAGAATTAAGAATAATGACACCTTTTTGGCACTCTTATTTTTCTATTTGGCACATTTTGGCACTTTTTTATCCTCAATATGGCACTTCATATCTAAGCATAGTTGGCAGCCCTGGTGATGGAGGCTATACATTCACAAGAATTACAGCAAACCGTTTTTATTTAAAAAAATGCTACAAGATATGACGGAAATTCATTTGAAAGTAGATCATATTCTAAATCAGGGGTCACACGATTTGTAAATTTTTTTACAGATTTGTACATTTTGAAAGCTACAGTGTGGTCTTTGTTTTTATTGAGCTGAACTCATTCTCGACAAAGGGACATACATAGACGGAAACTGCACGGTGGACGGATTTGCAAAGAGACGCGACCATGTAAATCGGACAAGACTTTGGAGATTGTAATCTCTCAGAAAGTATGATACATTCAATATCATCTTAAGTGGTTCTTAAAGTAAATTGTTTTAGAGATGAATAAGCTGACCAGCATCTTCCCGGACATGCTACAGAAGCTGCAAAAACCATTGAAAAAGGGTATTTTTCATATTCGTGGTAACTTTCCCACTCTGTATAGAAGGAAGCTGTGACACTGTGGATTGCTTTTTCTGGATGACCTTGATGTAGTGAATCTGAAATTCTTGACGAGATTTGTTAGAACAAACTGCTTCAGCAAGGGTAAATGGAATTCCAAATCTTGATATTACAAGGAGCCTAATACTGTAGTTCTAGTTATAGCACTGCTTTTTAAGTGGCCACTAGCCCAACTTACCTATATTTTGTACGAAAATCGAACCCGTTTGTGTTGCACATATCAGATCGTGAAGGCTGACGAAACCGGCTTCCTGCCGTTGACCTCAAATACCTATGTAAATTGGTGCATAGATGGTTCAAACAAGGTTAAAGAACCGGCCACTAATCTTGCAGTTCTAAAAGGTAGATGGTCCATGGTGTTCCAGGCCTAAGCATTAGCAATATTAAAATACGCAAAGTTAAAACTTCAAAAAGGATTGAATGGCGTGGACAATTTTTAGATAGATATGTATCCTTTTCGTTAGGATGATCACATCCCAGATTATAAGAGACTGATTTAAGCTTTGAAGGCACGAAGGCCTGAGGGTGATAGTGCATTGCATTATGTATCATAATACCCAAGGCCATCTGCGAAGAGTTAAACGGGGGTGGGCAAATGCTATCTGGTATCATTGACTGTTTAAGCGAATTTCGCAGGCGGCAATTCAACAAACATTTAGGTTAGAAAACAATTAGACAACGCACATAGGGGTATTTGACCGATTTAGGCGGCCAAAATTATTTTCATGAAAATTTTAACTCAAAATGTTTAAAAACGACGTGTTTCAATATTTAAAACTGCAAATGTTTAAAGTCTAGTAAATAGATTAGAAGTATGTGCAAGTATTCGACCAAAACAACGAAAATAAAGTTGCTTGCAGTTTGACATCGATAGACTCCATGATATCGTGGTCCGATGGTGGAAACATTGATACCTACGTATTCATATCGCCGCGGAGAAGGTTTATATCTAGGTTAGAACATGAAAAGGGTTGCCACCTGCTAAAAAATAAAATGCAATTAAACTAAATGAATACTACAATATGGGTATCAATCGAGAAGTTTTTGAAAAGGCTTTGTTTCTAAACAACATGTGGGAGGATTACCATCTCCTTAAAAATTAAATTCAACTTTAATTCCATGGAATAAGGTAACTGAAATATGTATAACCATAGTGGTGTCAGACTGAAAAGTTTAATAAGGTTATAGTTTGAAACTATTTTTAACAGGGCTGCCACTTGCTTAAAAATTAAATTCAATGTATATGATAGGTTAAATTCATTTTAACAACATGGATATGGAACAAGAGATGGGTTGCCACCTGTCAAAAAATGTAATTCAATTAATTTCAATGAATTACTACGCTAAGGGTATCATCCAAAACGGCTTTGAAAGGGCCTAATTTTCAATTACATTTAGAAGGGTTGCTACCTGTTTAAAAAACCAAATTAAATCAAAATAACATATGATTAAAAAACACTATACGGAGTAACCATTATGTTGAGGTTTATTGAAATAAATTGCACCCTATCTAACACGCAGAAATTTCATACACGCATCGAACTAACTATATTATAAAGTAGTTTGTTTTATTTGAAATGTCTTCTAACTTTATTTTTTAGTGAATCTTTTGTGCCTTATTAGAATTAATAATTATAAGTAATTTCGAATACGTGGCAACTTTGAACAAATATCTCCAGATACCTTTAAAATTAAAAACATTATCTGAATACAAAATTCCATCAAAATCGTTAGAGTCGTTTCCTAGAAACCTTTGGATATATATACATACATATTTACAAGAATTGATTGTTTAAAGTAATGAGATACATACATACATATATGTAGTTTGGGAAGAAATCGTACTATTTTACTACCTTAAAAACTTATTAGCAAATTTTTACTAGAACTTACCCTTAAGTAGAGCATTTTTTCTAAATATACTGACAACTATTTTCTCCCTGCAACTCTCCAAATTTTTATATTGAACCCCTCCTCCCCCACCGTCCCAGCCTCCCCTCTTAAAGTTGTCGGGCGTCTTGACTTTCCTATCACCCCCCTTTACTCATTGAACACTTCGACAGAACACCCTGTACATGTAAAGAAAACAGGTACAGTACTGCAGCAGTATTTTCGGCTTATTTTTCGGCACTAGTAAATATTTCCAATGGTCAGTGCACAGCAAACGCACCTTTTCAGCAGTTTTTTTTTTGCTTGTTTCCAAACTACGAACTGTCAAGCATAACACCCAAGCAAGAATCTCAGCGCCGTTGAGTGGTGTTACATAACTTTATGACTGTAGTTCATTTCTCTAATCCACTAAAATTTGCAAATATTNCTAATTTTCAATTACATTTAGAAGGGTTGCTACCTGTTTAAAAAACCAAATTAAATCAAAATAACATATGATTAAAAAACACTATACGGAGTAACCATTATGTTGAGGTTTATTGAAATAAATTGCACCCTATCTAACACGCAGAAATTTCATACACGCATCGAACTAACTATATTATAAAGTAGTTTGTTTTATTTGAAATGTCTTCTAACTTTATTTTTTAGTGAATCTTTTGTGCCTTATTAGAATTAATAATTATAAGTAATTTCGAATACGTGGCAACTTTGAACAAATATCTCCAGATACCTTTAAAATTAAAAACATTATCTGAATACAAAATTCCATCAAAATCGTTAGAGTCGTTTCCTAGAAACCTTTGGATATATATACATACATATTTACAAGAATTGATTGTTTAAAGTAATGAGATACATACATACATATATGTAGTTTGGGAAGAAATCGTACTATTTTACTACCTTAAAAACTTATTAGCAAATTTTTACTAGAACTTACCCTTAAGTAGAGCATTTTTTCTAAATATACTGACAACTATTTTCTCCCTGCAACTCTCCAAATTTTTATATTGAACCCCTCCTCCCCCACCGTCCCAGCCTCCCCTCTTAAAGTTGTCGGGCGTCTTGACTTTCCTATCACCCCCCTTTACTCATTGAACACTTCGACAGAACACCCTGTACATGTAAAGAAAACAGGTACAGTACTGCAGCAGTATTTTCGGCTTATTTTTCGGCACTAGTAAATATTTCCAATGGTCAGTGCACAGCAAACGCACCTTTTCAGCAGTTTTTTTTTTGCTTGTTTCCAAACTACGAACTGTCAAGCATAACACCCAAGCAAGAATCTCAGCGCCGTTGAGTGGTGTTACATAACTTTATGACTGTAGTTCATTTCTCTAATCCACTAAAATTTGCAAATATTATTCTTCCATGTAGCTCTGCCGGTACCAGTTCAACTACCCCTCTGTGCAACGTTTAGAATTCTTATGTGTTTTTCTAAAGTAGAAGATTAGAAGACAATTGGAGAAACTCACGGGAATTATAGCCTCTATTTTTAACCGACTTCCAAAAAAGGAGGAGGTTATCAGTTCGTCGGAATATTTTTTTTTTTTTTTTTTTTTTACAAAACGCTTTCGTTAGGTTATTTAAGGCGGAAAACGACCACCAAACCATAATCTTAGCCGATGAGCGAGCCAATGGAAATCGTAAACGTGAATTGTTGGTGAAAATGTTGGACCAACAAATTTTTATACAAAAAATTATTTTGTGCAGGACGAAGCTCGCCTGTTCTGCTAGTATTATAATATTTAATTTAAACTAATTAAGTTGAATTTTTAAAAAGGTGGAAACCCTTGTGAAAGACTTCAATATTATTCAAAACGTTAAAACTAAAGGTTTCTTAACAATATCTTGTTTGACAACCATATTTTAATTCTTCAGATGGCTTGCGTATAACTATTTTAAATTTTACTTTT